TAATTTTATCATCTATTTTGGCCATTTTGTAACTCATGGAGCCTTGATTTTTGCAGAGTCAACAATTGAGCGTGAACATAAACAGGCTTATCGGGCGCGGCTGTGACGCTGAGGCCGATATCTACCACCCACCGGTCAGGAGATGCTACTTGTCAAGCCCCACCAATTAAGGGCTGGTCGAGAAGAGCATGGCGAGAGTGTCGAAGACCGCCCAACAGACCGCTTGTTGTCAAGCCTATCGGGGGCCAGGACGCACCTAAGCCCGATTTTATTCTGGCATTTAGGCCCGTTGCAGTGCCGGTTTGTATTCTTCAAGTTGCCAGTCGAAACAGGCCAAAATGTTGCCAGTTTTCAGTGTGCCCTGTTTCAGTCGGAATAGACTCGGTCACCGGGGCGACAGAATCTGGTGCCTCAAAGTCGTCTTCAGGGTAGACGTCCGAAAGCATAAAATGAGTCCACCTTTTCGCTTGGAGTTATGTGTGTGTGTGTTTGTTCTGTTCTGTTTTTCCGTGAGTGTACATATGTGGGGAAGTTGTGTGGTATTTACATGCTTGCATGTGTTTGCGATTGTCCATCTCAAATGCAGGCCTGCCTTCAAAGGCATCTGCACTTTCTGGTGTCGAATTTACATTTTGGGTTGCACAAGTAACCAAAACCATGCTTGTTGCTGGCCCTTTTGCCATAAACGTCCAAACAACCGATACCTCCTGAATCGTTAAGACTCCTCCGGGGTGCGCCAAGTGTCTCTGTCATGCAGAGGCCTGCCACACACGCAATCCGACAAGCATCCACATACAAACTGGGCGAGGCTGTGTGTATATGTTTGCGTGTGTGCGTGTATGTGTGTAGCGCCAAGCCCAACTGGGCAATCAACCTGGCCAGGCCTCTTTACATGCAGCCCCGGCTTGGGCCCTGCACAAGCAAATATTTTGATGAAGACGGCTTATCTGGCCTTTGTAACCGGATGTCCCCCAGCCGCAGACATCACTCCAGGCCTCGTCGATCTGCCGCCTGTATCTGGGCCGATCTTGGCCTCCTCTTTCGCAGACCGGCCAGGCATTTGCAAATAAAGTATTCGACTTGTTGAATAAGCCCAACCTCTGTCGTCAGCCTTCGAGCCTCAGATTTCCACCTGTTTGTCCGAAACCCTTCATTAAAGGTTGGTACAGGTCTCTCCTTTTTACGTCATGTGTAGACGGAGTCCTCTCCGGTTCGACTCCGTGACACGAAAGTCTTTCCTCCCGCCATTCCCTTTAGGCAAGAGGATATCTCCAAAAATTTTCATTTCAACTACGCCATCTGTTTCACCGCCCTTGCACGCAACCTTCTATTGAGAAAACAGACTGGAGAGTGGATACCTTGAGATCTCGGTTTATTCTAAGGGCCCAGGCGTCTCATGCAATAGAAATCGTGCCCTCCTACATCATCCAGCCTTTGACTGGCTGCATTCTCAACCAACACCCTGTTGGCATCAGCACCAAGTAACATTTCGAGTAGTTAGTTAAAAGTTAAAAATACCTTTTTTAAGAAACATAGTCCTCTTTGGTGACTTAAGGTGATGGAAGGTCGGTTAGTTGAGTTCCCCACGTTGAAATATGCAGAAGAATAATTTAGTCAGTCTAGATCGCTTACGGAGATATAAAGATTGATCGTTGCATTTTCCCAAAATGAGATGAGTAGGCCTCGCGATACTATAGAATTTCATGTAGCCTCGCCTCATGATTTTGTCGTTGCACTCGACGACGTTGATTATTTTTGATATGAGTAGTTTTCGATAATATAAGTAATTTGGTGTAGCTCCAGACGAATTAAGAACTGATGTAAAAACTGTATTTTTTCGATTTCTTTTACGGTGATGAAGGACTGGT